TCATTCTATCTAGCGCCACTCACCTTGTCGAGCATGAACTTAACATCGCGCGAAAGTCTTGTAGCTAGCACGGGCCTTGTAAAAGTTTTAAAAATCGAAATGACAACGATTATTTGGCTATTCCTAAGGACTAATAATTGTCCTAAATATTCAAGAGTCTTTCCGGCACAACAGCATTGCTGTAGACGAGAACAGAATCAAACTTTAAGAGTAATCAACAGCAAATTCTTCAGTTCTAAAGGTAGAAAAATAGTTTTGAGAGCGGAAATCTATATTGTCGCTTAGGTCTGCTGCGGCCTGATGATCAATTTTTTAACATTAGAGCTTTAGTAATCGGATATAACTACATACTGGAGTCCTTACGCTTGCCTGTAGCCAGTCCACTCCAAATCTGTTTCGGAATAATTTGAACTCACTTTATCAAGAGTATGTCCGGGCATGTAACCGATGCTTTCCTCCCAAGCCAAAATCACAGTCTTTCCCTTGGCGCGTAGCTCATCTGCCTTGTTACCCATCCATTTGAAGCCAGTAAGAGTGACATCGCTCTTGAACCCTACAACCCATTTTTAAAGATCTTTTCCAAATTGTTCACGAAATGTGCTGAGCGTATTGTAGAAAGAGTAATACCTTCAGCTTCAGCAATGGTTTTTACAATCTGTGACGATACAGCGCTGTTGATCATGTAAACATCAGACTTGTTTACATTTGGATTCGCCTGAAAATGTTCCACTTCCCACCCCAGTAGCTAAAATTAGGGAAGCAAAAAAATAGAAACAAATGGTACCTTGTGCCAGTTTGTCCAGACCCACCACGTCAGCAGGGCTCCCATCTCATTACCAGTAAAGACACGCCACTCGCCACTAAAACACAAAGACCATAAACTTTCAGGGTCCAGATAAATACAGAAATCATCCAAATTTTTTCTATATACATTCAAAGTAAAGAACGGTTTATCGTAATCTTCCATCAACTGATTCAAAGGACTGCTCCTGCTTTTTGAATTATTTCCAGTTTTAAAGAGTAACGGGAAAACATCTAATAGATAAACTTCTTGTATTGTTAAGCAATTTCGATGTTTTCAAAAAAATTTGTAACATCAAAATTTAAACATGTAGTTTCGATGCTATTAAAAAATGCGTATTATGCAGTCTAGGCT